CAGAAATCATAAGGTTGCCCCACTTTAAGAACACTGCTTTTAGTCCCTGAGTATATATTGTGAAATCCTCTGGTTTATGCTTCTAAAGAGAAGACAACCAGGGCAGAAGCAGTGGCAGAATCCAGTCTGAAATTGTCCTTCCCTCTCCTTCAGCTGACTGTGTTATTTATGACAAATGGGACAGCAGTCTTACAGACAACAGCCTCCTTTGTTGCAAACTCTGATTTATTCTCCAGGCAGGTCCTGGAAAAAAAAAAAAAAGAAAAACTAATATATGATCATTTAAATAATGCCTCTCCGAAAGCATTTGGAACTGTATTGGGATTGGATTAACCATCTTGCTTCTAATCTTTTGCAACTTCAGTGCTCTTTTGATTTTTTAAGATTGTAATGTGTATTATACATGCATTGTACATGCATCCCTTTTAGCTTTTCCTTGGCTTCTGCAAGGGCTGTTCAGTTAAGCCGTTGAGAACTGGAGTGGTGTTCTCTAAGCTGGTAAATGGAAGAAGTGGCGAGCTGACTAAGTGGTCTCCTGGCCAGAAAAGCTGCTTTTTTTGAACTATTTTGTCTGGACTGGATGAACAAGCATCAGTGCCCTTTTCCTGCCTGGGTTCCATAGCCTCTTGGTTGGTGCATCCTCCCTGCTGTTTTCTTGTTTATCTCTTCTAGCCATTCCTGCTCTATCCTTTGCTCTCCATGTCCTGTCAGGGAGCTGTCATCCTCAATCCTCTCTTTGTCTGGTCTTTTCTGGAGCAGCAGCAGGGTGTGTGCCTTCATTCACAGTGCAAACCTGGGCTTCTTTATCCCCTCCTGCCAACAACTTGGTACTTAGAGAAGTGTTGATTGGTATAAGCTAAAACCCTGCCTTGTACAGCAAAGTCCTTCAGAGAAGATAGAATGCAGCCTCTTCCATGAGATCAGCTCAGCTTGTTCTCCTTGCATATCTTGAAGGTCCTAATGGCAATATGCTCACGAGAAAGCTGGTCTCCCTCTACTAGATAGTTTCCACTGGGACTTGTCTTTGTCAGCTGTTGAGGGAGGTTTGTTTCAGCCTTGTCCTTCTCTGTTTTACCTCAGACCAGACCCAGCAGCACCCTGAACAGCAAGGCTGGGGTGACCCATCCTCTTCCCTTCTGGAATCAACTTGAGGAATGATCAAGGCATTTTAGGAGCCACGGAGAGCTTTCTCTCAAGGTTCAGCAGAGTCTTTGCATTGAAAATTTGTGTGAAGCCTTGCAAAGTAATAAGCACTTAAAGGCCCAGTTGTAGAATGGGCAGCACTGGGTAGCTGTGACTCCCGTAGAAGTGCCTAGCACTGTATATATTAGTAGTCTGTGGACAACGGTGGTTTATGGGGTTAGGCTTAAAAAATCCGTAGCTATTTTTTGACCAGCCTGCCTGTGTAGCCTTTCTGTGCTTCTGTACCAGGCTGAGCGTGGAGTGCTCCAGGGAAGTAACCACTTAAAGGTTAACCATATGTAATCATATAACCATATGTTAGGTGGACAGAATGGCTTCGCCTGCCTCCTCTTTGTCACTTAATTGTCTATCAGGTGCTCAGGGCGGCTCAGTTTGTGAAAATGGAGAGAGGAGAAACACAGGACACGGGCTCAAATGCACTGCCAATCTTGCTCAGTATGGTTCAAGTTACAACTAGGACAACCATTCCTTCCAATTTCTAGTCCTGCAAGTCTGATCTGCTCTATAAACCATGTTCTAACCCTTACTGTCTCTCTGTCACTGATGTATTTTCTTTTTTTGGTGAAAAGATATTACCTGTGAACTTTTATTCTCTCCTCTTACCTTCCCTCATTTGTTGCTAATTGAAGGGACCAGGCTGGTCTCCTGGCAATCCTGTCTGTGCTTTACTTGCAATAAAAACAATGTTAGCTATGTCATAACTTGAGCATCCTGGAGGGAAGGGGCTTGTAGGAGACAAATAAATCCAGCACATTAGCAGATGACCATAGGAATCAATAGGCATGGGACAGATAAGCCAAGATAGTTCCTGGAGAACTGCTGTGCTGTAGACTGATGTCATTGCCCGGCAGGGCTTTGACCATGCAGGTATTGTGTGTTCTTCATCCTGATGGAAGCAAGGATGGGGAGAGGTGATGTGTGGTTGCTAGCCAAGACCCTGGGAGACCTGCTTTGGAGGAGCATTCATGTATTTGTTCTTTGCAATAAGTTTTAAGAAACCCTAAGTCATGGATGGCTGATTTTATCACTCTTTATAATGGATTTCTTTTGCAGTAGTTCAGCATATGGCTATAAATGTGGCATAAATGAGCTGTTTTAGGGAAATCCCTTTTTTATTATTTTTTATTTTCCCTCAGCAGTTTCTCCTCTAGCTCTGGCCGCTGATGGATTCGAGCAGTGACGAACGGCGAGCTTGGCCTGGCTCTGCAGTCTCCCTCTCCCTTCTCGGTGTGATAGTGTGGCATATTAATGCTGCAGGTCCCTGGGGAGCCGCCAAGACTGCGTCACTCCCCCCAGGCAAGCCATGGTGGCAGCTCGGTGTAAATGTCAAACATGCATCCCTGCCGTTTGCAAAACTGGGAGCCAGAGAAGGAAGGAGCCAAAGAGCTGAAATGGAGGCAGAGCTGAATATTTATAGATGCCCCAAGATTTCTTTCCATAGTAGTGGGGAAGGGATATGTTTCTAAATGAGATTATCACTCACTGAGGAGATAAGACACCCTTCCTCTCCAGATATCAGCATGTGTGTTCACAGGTGTGCTCTCATCCTGTGTGTTCACATAGGACTTCACTGGGTTCAGGAGGTCCAGACTACACGTCGATATGCACAATATGCACAGCATTTCTGCCCTTTTAGGCTTTTGATCCTTTTAAATGCGTGGCTCCCCTTAATAGTGTCCTATTGCCGAGATAGAGACTATAATTTCATATCTGCTTCCTCGGTCTTTTGTCTTGTTACCCACATATGAAGATAGTAATGAAAACATCTTTGCCTCTGGAGGAGAATGGAGCCAGTAGATTCCAATAGAAGACCTTGATGCCACTGTCTGTCTCTTAATTCCCTGTTGAGCTTCTTTGTGGGTTTGTGGGAAGCTGTGTCTGGTGGGAATTGAATTTTACGAAGTGCTGAGCACCATCTTGAATTGGTGAAGCTCTGCAGCTGAGGGAGGGATCATTCTTAGGATCAAATGCAAGGTTTTGAATGACTTTTTGCAAGATAAAAATACACAAATATGTGATTAATCTGAAGAAGTTCTGTATTTTTCTTGTATTCATTTCAGTTTGGGGTTTGTAATCTCAGCTGAGCATCACCAGAGGACATTCTCTGCATCCATCAGAATGCCACCATGAAAAGAACACAAAGATTATCATTTTTATATTGGCCTCAGAAATCTTTCCAGCTCTGCTTCTTTGGCTTTTCTTTCTGTGCTCATTCTAGTACTGTGCTCATCATCTTCTCAGACGTTTAAAGTCCAGAATGGACTTCCTGACTTTCCGCCCCTCCATTCTTGCAACTGGTAACAGCATTGCTCTTCCATCTTCTCAATGTGTTGTGTTGAATTTTCTTTGTTCCTTCAGATGTTCTGCAGCTTCTTCTGTCATGTCTCTGTATCAAAACTCCATGAACATTGCAGTCTCCTACTCTAGTTCACCCGGCACTTGCTGGCATCCACCTAGAGTCCATTCAAAGGGCAGGCGATGCAGTTCTCCTCTGTCATTTAAACACAGCTCTCCTTTCTAGCCCCTGTCCTAACATAAGGCCCCTCCTTGTTTCAATGCTTTCCATTAATAGAGGTGTGAGGGACGATTTTGGCCAGTTTGGGAAGAGACGCTTCAGAATCATACCATGAAGGGACCTGCTGAATCCGTCACTAGAACAGGTCAAGGGAGACAGTTGGTGGAATCCACATGAAGAAGATGCAGTGTTGACCTATTGTGGATAGTTTCCAAACAAGAGCAAAGAAATGCCTCTGACCTATTTCTGGGAGATGCTACATATGTGGTCAAAGGTTCTGGTAGCTCTAGAGGCCTGTTCTGCACAGCTTTTGAGGTCCTCAGTCTGGTAGAAATGGAGATGGTTTCAGGGTACTTCTGAAACACCTCAATGTGAAGTTCAGGTTGGCCTCCTCCACCGCTCTGAACACACAACTCTGGGGACACTGGACTTATTATGAGCCAAAGGGGCCTGGCATTGCCCAGGATTTGCTTAAAAATTCACTGGAGCGCCTGTGCCACATGCTGTAGGTGTGCCTGCTTGAGCAGGAAGGTTGGACTAGATGATCTGTAGTGGTCCCTTCCAACCTTAAATATTCTGTGAATCTGTGAATCTGTGATTCCATTTCCTTACATCCATACACTCTTCTCTCCGGAGAATGCCCGTTTGTTATGAAGAGCTGTCTTAACCTGATGCCTTTTATGGTATATTAGAGAGGCCCTGAGCATCAAGTGAAGTCAGTTAAGTCTGAGTTTAATCTGTGTTAAGTCTAAGAACCATCTCTTAATCAGCATCTGAATGCATATATTTTGCAGGGTCTTCGCTCTTTTCAGATTGCATAGGGCAGTAGCTCCCACTGATGTGCAGGGGTATTTTGGGTATGGATTTACAGACTATGTACTTATTACTAAGCTGCACAGGTTGGGCTTGTTCTTGACCAAGGGCAAACAGCCCTATTTGATTCACATGCATTATGCTTAACTTTCATCTCCTCTATCTCCCAAAACAAGACAGCCTGGGCTGGCCTTCCAGTTATGCCCATTCATTGCCCGATGAATCCTCATTGCTTAAATCATTCCAGACAACAAATTTGGAGGGTCATGGGACTGTATTTGAGCTCATACTTCTGCTTTGTTGTGTGGTCAGGCTTCTTGCTCTCCCCAGATTATCCTCTTTTCCCTGTCCTTCTCTCTGCCTTAACTCTGTGGGAAGCCCAGATAATCACCATATCTGGGCTGCAAAGCACAACAGAGCCTGTTTGAACTAACCTGACTCTCTTCCTCTCTTTCAGCACCTGGGAGCAGAGATGGATAAGATACTGGAAGCTGTGGTGATGTCTTCATACCCCAACAATGTGAAGCAAGGGCTTGTGAGGCGCGTCATTGAGGCAGCAAAGCAGCCCATGGACAGTGAACAGTGCTGGTCCATGCTGGAGCTGTCAACCAAGCTTTTTCTTACTGGGGACACCAAGTACAAAAGAGAGATCGGGAAAGAGGTTTTGGAGGTCTATGGCCACTACCATCCAGAAGAGTTTGAGGAATTCTTCAATGTCCGCTTCCTATTGAGTCTCCTTCAGGAAGGTTATGGCCCCCTGGGAAAAAGAAGTCATTATGTGCTAGATTATATCCAGTTAGGACTGCAGTTTGTCTTGGAAAGCCCATCAGCAAACAGCATTTTCAACTTACTGAAGATCGAAGTGCTCCGGAAAGTCTGCGAGAGGCCCAGCCCCAAGCAGTGCGCTAAAATCAGTAAACTCTTGACCCAGCATCCTCAGTGCATCCCCACGGGCAAACACCAGATCTTGTTTTGTCAGCAGCTGATACGGTGCATCGGGCAGTTCCAGTGCGTCTCCGAAGGGGAAGAGGACATAATGGAGTTTTTGGAGCAGGTGAACAAAGTGAGCGGTCTGCTGCAGAGGATCTGGAGGACTCAGACTTCAGCCATCCTGCCCTCTTTGAAGGAGCTGTTCTCTATCATTTCATCAACAGGTAAAAAATAAATAACAGGCACAAATGTAAATGCTGGCTTCGAGGAGCAAGGCAGATTGATATGGTCCTGACATGTCAGAGCTTCAATAATTCCGGTCTTTGCTGAAAATATAACAAACGAGGGTCCCCAAAGTGTGCAGGGTTTTTAGGCTAAGAAGACAATATCCCTGTGAAACCTTGCAGTGTTTATAAACAGGAATTATTAACTGTGTTGAAATGTGTGCAGCATAGAAGTTTCTGTCCTCAGTACTTTTCTGCATCAACTGGGCTTAATGCAAAGCATCCTCTTATCTGCAGTAAGCTTAGCCTGGGGCTTGAAAGCATTTGGAAAAGTCACTCTCTAATAGCTAATTTTGTTGTGCCTCACAGCCTACTCTATAGCCCTAACTAATAAGTACTTAGAAGCTAAGTGCAAAGCTAAGGACACATTTCTCACTGTGTCTAGGGGTAGGAAGCCCTATGTTTCATGACCACTGTCCCTGGAGGGCGCTCATATCTTAGGAGGGGACAGAGGATATTTAACTTTTAGGGTTTTCTGATTATTATAAAGGGTCTCAGAAGATTTTTAGAGGTAGCAGCACTGTAAAAGCCTGGACTCTCTGTAGACAGGTGAGCTCTTACTTAAGCTCTTCCTAACCCGATGAGGAGATGGGCAATTCAGTTCCCTCTTTTTGAGAACCTCATCCTTTGGGTGCACTCCAGGTAGACAAATGTGCAGCCTCATCTTCTTGTGATCATTTAGAGTAGTCAGTATAAAATGAGCACATGGAGGGAATTTGGACAGAGAACTCAGGCAATAATGTTCTTGAGTCTGCGATCCCTGCCTCCCTTTGGGCTGTGCATGACTTGATGCAACATCCTGTCTGCTCTGAGCCAACCTTGGTCTGTGCCACACTGCGATTAAACATCCTGTCTGCTCTGAGCCAACCTTGGTCTGTGCCACACTGCGATTCTGGGAATTGTCCCCCTAGCAAAGCTAAGTGTAGACTCCACATTGCACTGATCATTTATGTTCTGCCCCATTAATGATTTGTCTTTTAGAGCCAAGAAAAGACCATATGTGCCTAGTTTCCCTGGCGATTAATGTCTTTATTGATGGCTCTTGTCCATATCTTACAGAGGAGCAGGAAGCGCCATCAAATGCCTTGGCCAGCGTGGTCCAGTTTGTCCCTCTGGAGCTTATGGATGGTGTCATAAGAAACCTAACCAACGATGACAGCATCACTGATGTGCAAATGATGACAGCAATTAGTAGGTAGGAGAGACTGTATGAGTGAGCATCCTGGGAAGGTTCTCAGGGGTATTTTTCAGTCAGGAGAAAAACAACCCAATTTTCAATTTCTCATAACAGTTTTATCCCAGTACTGCAGTTATGCAGCAAAAGCAAGTTCATCTAGTGCTGTCTTGTGAGGTGTGGGGAAAAGTGTGTTCCTAGACAATTTCCTCCAAATCCTTAGGGCCTAGAAAACTAGATTAATGATATTTTGTGTTATTTATTTATTATTTTTTAGAGTAAGTAGTGCTAGAGGTTGCTGAACATGAGACACTTTAAAGACATTTGATTTTTTTCCTAAGAACTATTGTTTCCCAGAAACTGCTGAGGCCTTCTCCTCACAAAATTTCCTTTAAAGAGTTTCAGGTGGAACCTCTGTCTACCTTCAGAGGGACATCATCCTAAATGACTAATCCCAGCTAAAAACCTTGGCCCGTCCATCTCCAACTGCTGGGAGTTTCTCAGTGGAGAAGGAGGTATGCCCCACTGCTTAAATGATCCCACTTTGACCTTTGTCAGGTGTATGTGGTGGTGCTGGTCTAGATATAAGTGCTATTGAGTATGTATCTGTGCCCTCTGTGCTGACAGAGTCAGTGGAGACATCAAGGCATGATGAGGAGGTAGTGGATGAACCATGGAACATGTTAGACTTAGTCCTCCCGAGACCAGTGCCCCATTTGGGATCACCAGGTCTTCCATGAACATCTGTGTACAAGTCCTCCAGCTCCTCTGTGTTCTAGGTGTAACACTATCTTCATCCTGTATTGTCCTTGAAGGTCTCCTGTTTAAATGGGTGATGTTAACAGGTACTTAACCCAAGGGAGAGGGTCTGCCTTGCTCTCATTGGGAAAATCTCCTTTCTCCACTACCTACTCCAGAGTTTGTGTCCCTCACATAAGGCAGCATGATGGATATGCGTAAATAACTTAGGGGAATTTTATGCCTATTGGAAAGATGCCTTCTCTTCCTGGAGAGGGCCATGGTTTTCCCAGAGTCCAGATCTGCCCAAGAGAAAGGATTATGCAGTCAGTTCAGTTTTTAACCTTTTTCATTTTCTCCCCTTTATTCTGGGATGCAGTTGTCAGATGCGGCTGGGAGCTCCAGTCAATAAATCTCTAAGAACAGCAGTGCCTAAAAATAGGCTCAATTGCTTCATTCCTGTAAAAAACCCTTTGTTATGCAGAAGGATGAGTAAATGATTAGTCACTGCTAGCCAAACATTGAGCAGAGCCTGCAAAATATAATTAAGTTCACTTGGGAGAAATGCGGAAGTTTTGGAGAGTTTGTAGCAGACAGATGCCCCAGAAAGCTGCATTAACATTGACCTTTTCTTGCATGTGTGCTCAATAAACTGCAAATAAAAGGGAAATGCACAGGGACAAACAGGGCCTTTCATTTTAGGATTGCATGCCAAAATCTCTTCCTCTAGAATCCAAAGTTTGGGTTTGGGAGACCTTATCAGAGGAATCAACTGGAGCAAGGTGGAACTTTTGATCAAACATTTAAGAGAGCTAATAAAAGCAAGCCTGGCACCTGCTGGTATCAGTGTAGAGTGCAGACTGAAGGAGTGTGTCTCTCTCACCCACGCTGTGGATGTGCGTCACATAAGCTATATATTTATGTGCATCCTGGTCTTCAGAAGTGCTCGCTGATGTTCTTCTCTTTTTGGTGAATATCTGTTTCAAAGAGACAAGGTCTGGATGCAAAGAGCATCTGCTACCTCTGAAAAACAGGACCTGACCTTTTAAAGGCTGAGTGTGCAAAAATCAATGGTTCCTTTGGAAAATGGGCTTGCAAAATGCTTGGGGATCTATCAGTGTGGAAAGTGAATACAAAAATTAACTGTTTGTGCTGGAGCAATACAGGCAGCATGTATTATAATTTATTATAATATTATATATATAATATATAAATATATATATTTTTTAAAGCAAATTATAATTTATTATAATACAATAAAATAAATTATAATTTATTATAACATGTGATTATAATATTATAATTTATCCACAAATGTCAGTAAACAATAGTTTACTGTTTTGTTGTGTCCTGGGATATTTTATGCTTATATAAAAGAACACAGGTAAAGAAGGGCCCCTGCATGATGAGTCCATCCTCCTGCTCTTGCATGCAGTGACATTTTGGGCCCCTTTCATGAATGTGAACATTGCAACCTTAAAAGCAGAAAGGGCTTTTGCTCTCACTGCTCTTCCTCTGTAGCCCCTTCAGGATTTGATGACTTTAATGGCTAGGATCCCTCTTCTAATTGCCAGCCTATATTTATCTCTGGTCATCTTATAGCTCTTGTGATCTTACATCAACATAAATAGCTGAATTAGGTCTTTTCCCTTCCTAGCATTTATTTCTTCTGTGTATATGCAGAGAACAGCCACATCCTCTCTCTGCATTACTTTGGCTAAGCTAAGTAAGTCAAACTATTTTAAACTCTTATAATTAGTCCTATAAGAGAAGTTCTTCTCCATTTCCCTGATGTTCTCAACAGTTGTTTTCAACACCAACTCCTGCTTCAATTTGCTGTTTTGGGACATGGGTAGTCAGATTTGTACACAGTACTCCAGATGAGGTTCATCCTGGCCTTAAACGATGGCATTAAACGTCATTGTTTCCGTAGTAAAGAAGCCTTTCCTACTGCACCGTAGTGTGGCTCTTGCCTTCTCCATGGCTGCTGTTACACTGGGAAGTTGTGATTGTCATTCTTTTGCTCATCTTCTTCAAGCAGATCAGATCCCCTGCTTCCCATGTAGCAGTCATTTTTATTATTTGTTCCCCATCACCACTGCATGTGTTTTGAATGAATATGTTTCACCTGTATGTCCGCTGCAGAAGGTCACAAAGTTCTTCTTTGTGATAGCCTTTCTCCTCAGTTGATGCCTCCCAATTTTGCATCATCACAAATTACACATTCCTAGTATTTCTGTCAATGCCATTAGCTCCTGAAGAACATTGCTTGTAACCTACCTGCAGCCTCAGACTTCCTCCTCATTTTTCTCTCACCTGGAACCGGAATCTTACCTAATTTGCCATTCTTATGCTAAGTCACATTTTCTGTTTTAACTAACTGCTTCCACATACATGAATATACATCAGGACCCAGCGTGATGGGATATACTTTATGTCTCGTGACTAGAAAATCCAGCATCCTGGCAAACCTTATTTTATCACAGACCGTTGCAGACTCCCTTGGCATGGTATCCCTTCTTTCCAGTTATTCCCTCATTGCCTGTCTTCATTATAGGAACTGTTGTGCTGTTCTTCGGGAATATGGCATGAAGCCAAAGTTAACAGAGTCACTAAAATGGACCAGAGTTGAATTTTACATTCCCAGTGCTTGCGTTTTCTGGGATGGAGGTTGCTGACTCCACTTGACTGCAGTGCACGAGCTCTTTGTGTTTTGTTTTCATATCAGCTGTGGTTGTTTCTGCTTCCATTCTCATACCCATTATCTGCCTTCTCCTTTGCCACCCAGATCAATTCCTTCCTCTTGCTGAAAACAGAGGCTGAGGATGTGTTTAGCTTGGAAGTCACATCTAGAGGCCATATCATATCTTTAATCACCATCACATCCTGCGCATGTAATGACTGCACGTCTGTCCTTAGTCTCTTCTGATGCAAATGTCTGCAGAAGCTTTTTTGACATTTGCTTTATTATCTGGCTTGGCTTGGCTTTTGGCATTTCTCAACACCCCAACATATTCTGCCCTTTAAGCTTTCTTTACTGGCTAGCCTTTTCTATTTTATTTTTTATTATTTTTAATGCTCTGGAGATTTCACTTATCCCCAATCTTCTCCCTGTTGTGATTATTCATCTCAGTTGCTTCTGTATATTTTGCACAAGATGCAGATTGATAAACAAAGGGGAACTGGTTGGGAAAGACAGCTGGACTGAGATGGGAGACTAGAAGAAACCTGAGATGATATCTTCAAGTCAAGATGCTGAAGTGATCAGCAAAGTTTGATCCTTAGAAAGCCCAAACCTTTTTAACTTCCCTTTTTTTGGTTAACTTCACACTTAATTTAAAAATAAACATGTCATCACCCTGAAATTATTTTTAATGGCTGACCTTTCTGTAAAATCAATAGCACTTGCAAAAATAGGTATTAAATATTGTGATGTCCTTTTTTTTTTTTGTGTGTGTGGATATAGGTGAATAAATTTGTTAGCTATAAAATTCAGAAATATCTGGCTGCTGTCAGGGTTATCGGTATTTTTTCCTTTAATGTATATTGGGCAATAACTATCTCCCATAGAGAGAAGACAAAAATCCGTATCCTAGTGGTATTTCCTTGACGGTAATAATCCAGAGATCATTTCAGTATTGTGTTCTGTAAAGGTACCGATGTAGAGACCTTGATCCATAACTAAATCTAGGGTCTAGAACAGACACCCATCACCACCCCACTATATCAACCTAATTTTTCTTTAAAAAGGAGGTTCTCTTTTCACAAATTCCTCTGAAATATACATCAGAAGGTCCACAAAGCAGTGCATTGGTATAGCTGTGGTATGAACTCGATCTCAAGTTCACGGAAGTTAAGTCAAGTTCCGTAGAAGGTTTTCCATTAACCCATTAAGAGGAAAGGTTTTCCATTAACCCATTAAGAGGACCTAGGATCAGGTGCTCTCATCAGTCACAAAATACAGATTAATTCTATTTCAGGAAGTGTTGTGCTTTGAAAGACTTGGAACTCTCTGTGAGGAGGCCTCTCTCTTGCTTGGTCATTCCCTTGCCTGAGCACAGTTTGGCTTTCACAGTGTAAGCATTAAGTTATTACTTAAAGAGTTTGGATTTCATTTCAGGATGATTGACTGGGTATCCTGGCCCCTGGGAAAGAACATAGACAAGTGGATCATTGCTCTGCTGAAGGGTTTGGCTGCTGTGAAAAAGTTCAGCATCTTGATCGAAGTGACTCTTTCAAAGATTGAAAAGGTCAGTGGGCACTTCTAAACACTGCTACAAACAACAGGGTCCTCCTTGTATCTGTGTTATCCTCTGCCTTGCCTCACCAAAGGAGGAGAAGATGTGACTTGCCATGAATAGAAAAAATTAGGCTGTCCTGAGCAGTTTTGAAGGGACCACTAGGCTAATTAGGGATCTAAGTAGCCAAAGGTGCGTCGCTACATACAAGATGTTGGAGTGATCCCAGTTTTGCAGCTAGCACTTATGTCCTCCAGAAAATCCCCTTTTCCACGTGTGCTATTTCTGCTAGAAGGGTTTGGGTGCTGGGAGTCAGTGTGTTCCTTGCCTGTGTGTTGCCTGAGGATTTTTGTCGAAAGCCCAAGCTGAGGCTTTTTAGGGTTTGTTTTGCAGAGCCGATGAGCATGGTAGCAGTCTGCACAGTCACAGACCAGTTTTTAAGCCAATACCCTGAATTTTTTGCATTTATTATCACATATATGATACGGAAGTAGAACAAATTCCCATTGCTATCATCTATTTTAATGGTGACTACTTGACACTACCTGATAGTCAGAAGACTAAACATTCATATTGGTGGCCACTTCGGATCCACTTCACATGTTTCTCTGTGCCTCCATTTTCTTTTTTTTAAGATGTAGAAGTTGTAAGATGTTACTGTAGAAATGCAGAATGTCATGAATAAATGCATTTGTCTTTGTGGTTCCCCATATCCCTTTTAGAAATATTTTAAACAAATTATTAAACACGGGAGAAGTAGCATAGAGTCTTCTGCATTTTATTTATCTTTCCTCTCACAGGAAAGGTACACAGCCCTTAACATTGTATGTGATTCTTGGAAACTTTCAGAAGTGTGATCTGGAGAGTTAGTGAGCATTGCTGTAGGCATCGTACACCATTTTTCTGTAGAATAGGACAAATATTGTTACTTCTCCTCTGCTTTCTCTCTGTTTGCCTGAAAGGTTGTAGAAAAAAAATCCAAATAAATAATCTAAAAAAGTAAAAAGAGGCACCTTATAGAATATACAACTTTCCTTCATGTGTGCATGACCTCTTCCATAGCGGAAAGCCTGAGAATCAGCAGTGTTATGGCTATACCACTAGTCCCGAGATTAGTACTTTGTTGTACTAGACATGGTGCAGGCCTGAAGCAGTGAGAATACTCTGTGTGGTACGTGTAGGGTGCCCAGAGTCCACATTCAGGACAGAAGACAACTCTGGAGACCTTGCTGCTCTCCTGTTTCCTTCAACATCCAAGTATAGAGATAGACCAGAAGATGTGGTGTATATGACCATGGGCCAACTGAGACTATTTAGTACCTCTGTTCTCTGCTGTGCCCTTCTTGTGTGTGTTGCTCTGCCATCCTGCCTTCTGATTTATTTATTTTTTCTCCACCATTAGGTCTTCTCCAAGCTGCTGTACCCCATTGTGCGTGAGGGGGCTTTGTCCGTCCTGCAGTACATGCTGCTGAGTTTCCAGCACTCCCATGAAGCATTCCACTTGGTAAGGCTGAATGCAGGACTCGGGCAAATGTGTTACCCTGTGTGTAACTGTCCCGTGGTTAATGTGTGAGCTGGGAGGAATCCTAAGGAGCTGAGGTACCACAGAATAATAGAATCATTATGGTTGCAAAAGACCTTCCAGATTATCGAGTCCAACCATAAGCCCTTTGACACCATGCTTGTTAAACTATGTCCTTAAGTGCCTCATCTACACATTTCTTGAACACTGCCAGGGACAATGACTCCACCACTTCCCTGGGCAGCCTGTTCCAACGCTTGACTACTCTTTCCGTGTAGAAATTCTTCTTAATGTCTAACCTGAACTTCCCCTGGCACAACTGGAGGCCATTTTCTCTGGTTCTATCTGTAGTTATTCTGGAAAGAGGGCAACCCCTGCCTCACTGTAGCCTCCTTTCAGCTGTAGAGAGCAGTAAGGACTCCCCTGAGTCTCTTCTTTTCCAGACTAAATAACCTGAGCTCCTTCAGCCACTCCTCATAAGGTCTGCGCTCCAGCCCCTTCACTAGCTTTGATGCGTTTCTTTGGTGATACTTCAACACCTCCACATTCTTCTTGTAGTGAGAGGCCCCAAACTGAACCCAGTTTTCAAGATGTGGCCTCACCAGTGCCGAGTACAGTAGAAGGATCACTTCCCTGGTCCTGCTGGCTACACTCATCCTGATGCAAGCCAGGAAGCCATTGGCCTTCTTGGCTACCTGGGCACGGTGCTGGCTCCTGTTCAGGTGGCTGTCGACCAACCCTCCCAGAACCTTTACTGCCACACAGCTCTCCAGCCTCTCTGTCCCAAGCCGATGGAATCACCTTCTGTAGTTGACTTTTTTTTCCCCACTGTGTGGAAACCCAGCCCTGTCTGTCAAAATGAGGTATGTCTCTTCTGGAATCTACGCACCATCTTCTACAGACCAAGAAGCTTTATGGGCACTGGAAAGCCAATGCTGAGATAGAGGAAAGTCCTGAGTCCAAAAGGAGAGGATTGTGATGGATCAAGCAACTGTGCTGGATGAGAGAATGAGATGGAGAGTAGAAGTGCAGCTTTTCTTGGTTATCTCGTAATTCCTCCCATTTCTCTTGAGGCTCATCAGCCTGATGGCTCATCTCTGGGGACAAATCAGTATAAAGCTAGTGGGGACTTGACTTTCCTGATTTGCAAGGTGTGTCCAGATTTACTGTGTACAGGCTCAACATTTTACTGCAATGGGAGAGTGATTTTGATGTGCAAGTGCACACAGCCTTCAAGTCCTTTCTCAGCTTCAGAACTGGCCAGCCGAGGACACACTTAGTATGAATGTAGGGCATGGCCTCTCAAGCCACACCAGAGGCTTTATCAGAAACATCTGTAGTGGTTTTGTAATCATTTTAACCTGTCATTTGCCAGCTCTGCAGATAAAGAAGGTAGCTCCCCTTTTTTCCTGCTCTTGGATCATTTGCTACTCTCAACCACTCTCCCTTGTGCCAAGCCATTTGTATGTCTGTGTGGGGAACTATGTGATCAAATAAATCTGGGTGAAATGTAACGTGGCAGAAAAGCCCAGATGATCAGCATTGCCTGGCTCGGCCAAGGTCTGACTTGCTACTGAGCTGCACAATCTGGCCAAGGAGAAAGGAAGCACACTGGTGGCCTGGGACAGGGTCGTGCTGGCTCAGGATGTAGTTTCATGATCAGGTTAAGAAGATATAGCCCCCTAAGTTTTTGTTGCCATCCTTGCAGCTGAGATGTGTGAATTTTGCCATCCTGACTTTGGGCACTGTAGCTGAGCCTTTGCATTCAGAGCATTTTGGAGGGCTCAGTGTTAAGAGATAACATATCCCTAAAAAGGCCTCACCGTTTCCCAGCAAGTTCTTGACTGTCCCTTGAACTCACCAGCCCATCCCACATACAACTTCAAAGCGTTACCAATATTCTTAGACACCCGTTACCACTTCTTGAAGCAATTGGGTATGGGTATCTTTCCAGGGATTTCTCAAAATCAAGCAATGACGTTTAGAGACTGGGTCAGAACACTTCCAATTCATGAATTCCTGCTATTAAAGCCCCCAAAATCCCAAACAAGCCATTTGAAACAGCATTTGATTTTTCTCTTTTCATTTACTCGGTATATGTTTTTGCTGTTGTATTTTGCTGTTGATACTGTGGCTGCTTCTATCTGATGCTGCCATTAGAATGCCAGTATTGAAAAGCAGGACTGAAGGGAAAGACATGCTTTCAGTGACTGAATCAATAAAATAAACATGGGAAAATGATTTCTGTTTGGCTTATTTTCCCACCTGAAGTTCACAGAATAAACAGATAAGGCTGGAAAAATTCAAAGAGAGCCAACATGTTATTTTTCTCTTCCTCAGCTGGAGACACTTTAGAAGAGCCCGACTTCTTGAGAAACTCTTCAGTTTCTAGAAATAGGGCTGTTCCAAAGGATTGTCTTCATCTGGGTGTCCAAAATTTGGAACACTCCAAAAGTCATCCGGTTCCCTTGGCCTGGAGTTTTCATCTCTAGCCTAGCTAGCACAAATTTCCTCTCACACTTCTTTCTTTTTTTTTTCTGAAAAAAACAGAGCACAACCCTGTCTTGCTTCTTATCTCTTTGTGTTTGCACTGGCACTTGGAAGAGTTCTGAGAATGGCTCCTATCACAATAAAGCACAGTGCTGATTTCTAAAATGATACTGAGATTCATTTGCCCCAACGAAACTTTTCACTTGGGAGGGAAATAGTTAAATAGCCGTATTTTGAAGGGAAAAAGAGAGAGAGAGAGAGAGAGAGAAAGAAAATAGGGGAGAAAGGACCAGGGAATGGCTGGAGAGATTCTGGTATTTGGTATTCTATTCCAGACTTGCATAATAACATAAAATATAAATATGAAAAATGTTGCGTGAATGCCCAAGGTCACCCTTCACTCAGCTTTAGTACATATGCAAAATTTGGAATAGTTTATTAGTTCACTGCTACTACAAGGTCAGCAGAGGGGGCCCGAGAGCAAGTTATCTTTGCATTTGGGTTGGTTTGTTCATTTAAAAAAAATCTACATTAAGGGTGACACTTAAAATAATAAATGTACTATTTATATGCCTGTCACCACCCATCTGACCATGCCAACTACAATTTTGTTTATGTAGTACAGAACAAAATGTAGCAGATCACATTACTCAAGATAGGGAAAGCACTACTTATAGGTTAATTTGCCTGCATTGGAGGTGTGAATCACTTCACTTGGTACTTAGCATATAGCACTGCTTTCCAGAGCATGAGTGTGTTCTAGCAGAGATTAATTTATAGGAAGAATGAAATCACAGCATGGCAAAGAATAAGCATAAAACCTGCATGTTTTATGCAACATGAAACGCTCTAATGCCTACAACCCCAAATTTGCTCTTCTAACGTCAACGGGAGTTTTGCTGAGTTGAGTTCAATGAATAAAAGATGAAGTCCTGCATGGGTCTAAAGTGAACTCCTGCACTTCGCTTCCTGCCTGGGGGTGAATTGCGTTTGCTTGTGTGTGTGTTACATCTCTGTGAGCAATTTGGAGCTGTATGTGACCGAGTGAACTTTCTTTCTCCAGCTGCTCCCTCACATTCCCAGGCTGGTGGCCTCTCTGAAGAAGGAGGACTCCAACTCTGCCACCAGCTCCCTGGAGCAGCTGGCTGAGCTCATCCACTGTATGTTCTTCCGCTTCTCAGGATTTCCAGATCTCTATGAACCAGTCCTAGAAGCAGTTAAAGTAAGATAAGCACTTTTGGGCTACTTTTCCAAGCTATGTATTATATAGAGATGTGGCATGTTAGGCTGCTGTTTAGCACAGAGGGACAGTCTCACTGGTGGGGATGTCATAACTGAGTCTCTCACCTCTGATAGAAGAGAGGGCTTGAAGCTCTTCAGTTTGAGCCCCTTATAGGCAAGTTGGCTGCATTTGGGGCAGGGAGACTAACAGTGGACCTGCAGAAGTCTCAATCACATCGGTGGGTTTTAGGGCTTATTGTAATTGTGTATTAGTTCCTCTCATAGATGCATATGCGTGTGGAGAGTTTTGCCATGAATACCTCTTGCAGAGGAATTTTGCCATTTTTGGCAAGTTTTTTTGTATTCATAGGTACCAATTTGTGACACAGATCTCTCTCTTAAGGCTCTTCCGATTCCAAATGAAGACCGGATTAAGCATCTCTTGGGACAGAATGCTTGGACCTCCCAGAAGAACGAACTGGCTTGCTTCTACCCACGCCTGGCTTCCAAATCTGAGACAGGAAAGATTGGGTTAATTAACTTGGGAAACACCTGCTACATGAACAGCATCATACAGTCCCTTTTCATGGCTTCAGAGTGAGTTTCCGCTCCCTCATTCCCACTCATAACTGCTCTTGGGGCGTTCGCCACTTTGATGGGGCTCTCCCTAGACTGACTTTCTGTCTTGTTTTGCATCCCTTGTTTTGTTTTACAGCTTCAGACATTCGGTGTTGAATTTAGCAGAGGGCAACTCCCAGCCCCTGATGACAAAGCTCCAGTGGCTCTTTGCGTTTTTGGAGCACAGTCAGGTAATTATTTCATGTTCTAGTTATTTGTTTGGACTGTCGGCTGCGGAAAGGCTCGTCTCCAAGTCACTTCCTGCCTACCCAAACGTGCTGATAAGGAGCTGTGGATCTTGGTGGAATTTTATAAAGGGACGAATTTTGTTTATATGAAAAAGGCAGATTTTGGGGGTGGGGAAGGGAAGTAAGTCCTGAACTCTTATCACCCATGAAAGTGAGCTGCATTCACACCAGGCTGCGTGCTTTCAACTTGTGACATTTCGTGGTTTGAATGCTGTAATAACTAATAATTTTGACAACAAAATCCATTTGTTAATAGTTTATGCACATGGCAGACTGAAAGCCCTGTTGGTGTAAAGGTTTCTGTTTCTTGCTGTGTAGCAAGGGAGAAGATTGGATCAGCTTAGCTGACCCCGTGCTTCACAGCAAAGTGGGAGCAAATTGTGTGGGACTGATGGGATTTGCCTTAAAAGTGGTTTTGTTAAAAGGAAGACAAACAAACAAAAAACCCTTTAGATAACAAATGCTTTGAGTCTTCTTCTTAAAGGATTCTGTAGCCCGTAATCAAATTAATTATGAATGAGCATTTAGCTGGTATGTGCAATGTATGTCCATAATACACTATAGTAAACAGCTAGGTTTTGCATGTCAGAGCTCTGGGACAAAGCTGTAGCCTTAAGGAGGTGAAGTGTGGTCATATTTAGCCCCTGTTTTGAAAATGCATTTTTCTGTCCCTAAAGACACTTGATATTGAAAGTCACTGAACAGTGAATGTTCCCTTGTAGTGAAACCATTGTGCCCAATTCCTCTGTTTTCTAAGCCTTGACTGATCGTACTGGCTTGTTGCAATGTGAATATTGAAATATGAATATTTCATTTCAGGTGGCTTTGGAATAAAGAGGAGAAAACCTATAAATATCCTATTTATTCCTCATGTGTCCACTTACCAGTTGTGTAACCATGGGTTTAAAATACTATTATGGATTCTATGAGTTGTATTTTTTTCCTAATATCCTAGTAGTTTCCTAATACGATTCCAGATATTTTTCTTCTTTGGGCTGTTTTTAAGTCACTTCTTTGCCAAAGATGTTTCTTTTTCTGTGTTAATTAGATGTCAGCTTCCTAAGAGCAGCGATTACATTATCTGGTAATGCAGATTACCTGCCTGCAGTGATCAGAACGATGGGTGGAAATTTAGTGGATTTTTGTTTTGTTTTGTTTTTCTATAGAAGGATTTAGTGAGAGATATCCTGATCAAATTAAATGGAGCATCAAATTAAATTCAAGCTGAATTAAGTAGAAGTCTGTGGGCCAGGAAAACAAACCATTTAAGAGCTGAAGGAAGAAATAAACACGAGGACATTTTAGAGAAATATATATAAAATCATTTCCTGGTAAGAGTGGGTGAGCAGAAGTTCTTGTTCTTGTAATAATGGAGCAAAAGGATGTTCAGCAGAAGTGAGAAGGGGGAAATTTTTCCTTCCAGTTGCAGTCCTGCTTTTGCTTAAGGGGAAGCCTGAGACGTAAGAAGGTGAAGTGCCTCCTTCCTCCATCTCCATCCCCCCATATCAAATGGGAACCTGGACCCCATCTTAAATGCCGCTCTCCTCCTTCTCTTTTCCCACCAGCGACCTGCCATTTCACCTGAAAGTTTCCTCTCTGCCTCTTGGCCTCCTTGGTTTACTCCTGGCGCTCAGCAGGATTGCTCCGAGTATCTCAAATACTTGCTGGACAGGTATGTGGTAGGCACCGTGATTTCATAGCTCCGTGCTCACCAAGGGTGACTGTTTTGAGGCAAAAGTCTCCCCTCTGTGAGCACCTCTGTGCTATCCTGTGCAATATTTAATGATAACCAAAGCACAGGTGGCTGTTCTCATCCCATGGCACCCCGGATTATCTTCAGCAAGGACAGTGGAAGGTGTTTGAAGACTAATATTGCTGATACTTAGAGCATTTCTGAGCCCTGTCTGACACATGTTCTTTTTTTACACATCAGATATGTTATATTAACCCTGGATGCTGGAGTGAATGACGTTTCACCCAAACAACTGGTATTTAGAAAAAGTGGTGGAGCCAGGAATAGCAGCTGAGACTCAGAGGAGTTCAAAGAATGGAGAATGGAGTGCCTGGGGCTGATAGGTGGCGAGACTAGTCCCAGAATCCTTAATAAAATCCTGCTTATGCTGTCCAGTAGATAAGCTCAGGAAATCAATTCAGCTTGAAAATGTCTCTCTCTACTGCAAAAGCGAGGGGGAACAGCTGTGCCAAGTTCAAAGAGAAGCCAGTTGCCTGTCTTTCAATGAGCAATCACTTAGCCTCCTGCTTCAAATGTTGCTTTAGCCTTTCTCCTACCTAGATCATATCTCCAGCATCCCCGTGATCCTCCTAGATGTGGGATCATTAGCACACAAACCCCTCTGATTCCAAATTCCACACCTTCCACATGGACTCTCTCCCTCCATGTGAAGGTGGTGAGAAGTTTGAAAAGGCACTGTATGAAGGCTGAGGATGGAGACACTAGGGGCTTGATTAGATGCCTTAGCAGAGACCTGCTGAGCCATTTGATGTGCCTGGGGGTGTCCCACCTGGTCTGCAGCTGCTGTTCCCGAAAGGAAAGAGGCTCCTGCAGGCTCTGTGCCATGTCTGCCAGCTGTATGCAGATGTGCATGGACCTGTGGTGCTCTGCAACACTTCAGATGGTACCAAGCACCTATTTATATGTAGCTTAACCCGAATTAAACCCAATGAGTGAAGCTAGCTTGGAGAATAGAAACTGTACATTAAAACTGCTTCTTGGTATTGAACTCCTATATAATAAAATCTCTTTTCCTTTTCTCTTTTCTTTTCCTTCTTCCTTTCTCTCCTTCCTTCCTTCCTTCCTTCCTTCCTTCCTTCCTTCCTTCCTTCCTTCCTTCCTTCCTTCCTTCCTTCCTTCCTTCCTTCCTTCCTTCCTTC